GTTCAGAACCGGGCCCGAGTCCAAAGACTGGATCAGGGTCCAGTCAGAGCCAGGAGAACCAGTACTCTTGGATAAATCTTTAACATCAGCAAGATCACAGAACCGAAGCCTCCGCCTGGTTCTGGTTCTGTGGAATGAAGGACCGTGGGTAAATCCTTGCAATTCACACAGGTTTGGTCTGGAACCAGAACCAGAACCCGGTCCAAAGTTAAACAATACAGAAAGCCGTGGTTCCACCAGGAGACAGAAACACAAAGCAAGGTTTGCAGGATGAACACACACACACACACACACACACACACACACCTTGGTGGTCCAATCAGCTGTCAGGGAAAGTGGTTTCTATGCTAATGAGCTGGAGGTCGGGGGGGGGGGGGGGGCTGCAGAAATACATTCTGGCTCCCCCCCCCCCCCCCCCCCCCCCCCCACACACACACACACCTGAGGAGCTTCATGGTGGCTCTGATTCATTTTTCCTCTCAGCTGATCGGAGCTTCCTCCTTGCTGGTCTTCCATGATCTGGATTACTGATGAACCTCATCTGAACCCAAGGCCCTGGTTCTGACTCGGTTTCAATAAATATCCAAACAGAACCAGGAGCCCCCCCCCCCCCCCCCCCCCCCCCCGCTAATTAAATTTGTCCTGAATAATTTCCGTGGGCGTTCCGGGAGAGCGTTGCGGTTTCATCCTGATGAGGTGTGATGATTAAAAACGAGCCGCCGTGACAGAAAACAGGGCTGGTAATGAGCCGGGCCGAGCGGACCGGTACCAGAAGCTTCAAACCAAATTCACAGATTTAATGAGACAAAACTACAGCAGATAATTAATCCAGAAACTCCGACTGAGGAGATATAATCACAACAAACCGGCGCTCCTGGTGTTGAATCTGTGGCGCCGAGCCAGAACTTCCATTCCACTTCCACTCCTTCGCTCCAGCGCTCCACTTCCCGGTCCATCCCAGCACTGAACTTTAAAGGCGCTTTACGGAGTTTTGAATTTTTATGCTCGTGATCGCCCCCTCAGGCCAAAAGCGTAACGGCAGCTACAATAGTAGGCTCGTGCACGAGGCGCGCATGCTGTACGTGCACACTCCTTAACGAAAATAACAGCTGAGACAGTCCCTTGTGTGTGTGTGTGTGTGCGTGTGCGTGCGTGCGTGCGTGCGTGCGTGTGTGTGTGTGTGTGTGTGTGTGTGTGTGTGTGTGTGTGTGTGTGTGTGTGTGTGGCCCGGAGGACAGAGGACAGGAGAACGTGCAGCTAATTAATTAAATAATGTGGTTCTGTACCTTTCTCTTCAGCACAGCCGACAAAGGTTGATGATGGGTCAGTCCTCCTGCATGCTCAGATCATTCCCTTCCCTTGCTTGAAAAATTGTTCCAAAATGAAAGTTGAACCCACATCTTTTTATCTGTGAATTCAATGCCGTTCGGCGAGTCTCAAAAAAAAATTTGGGCATCTTACTGTAAAAAAAACAAACCATTAATGTAAAAAAGAAACTCTAAATAAACTATGTTCACATCCAGAATCGAACCTGGATCTTCTGCATGAGAGTCAGACGTCTTACAAGGTGAGCTAAAGCACCAGTGATGTCCTTTGTATCTGTAACATTTATATCCTTGATGACAGCTGAAACAACGTTCAAAGAACGGTTCGGAGTGAAAATGGCTATTTTGTCGCTAATTAGCAGGAAATATCTAGAAGAAAGTTCTACAGAAAGTAGCTAAGGGTCCTCAGAAATGTAGCTAGCTTTGTCACTAGGCGTTAGGAACAGCGACAAAGTGGCACTGCCTCTCTCTCTGCTGCTAAAGCTACGGATAGCAAATGCTACGGGCGATGCCTGAGCGTGAACGCGCATGAAGCAGCCTGCTCGACCCGAGCATCTCTCTTTTTCTGTGATTTTACAGAAAAACAGGCAATCACAGTAAAAATGCCAGGGCTCATTCTACAGGACCAGGGCGTTGCAGGAGAATGTATGAAGAAGACATTTATTATTTCTATACATGTTTTGGCTGTCAAACTTCCATAATGTCCCTTTAAGGACTCAGGGGCTACTGCCCCCTCAAACATGACCTCTAGGGGGCAGCAGGATAAAAATGAGACCACTTCCCTGTTTCCTGATCCTAGTCTACTCTCACCTGAAGACCCGAGCTCAATCAGGAAACCAGCTGATCCATCAGCCAGAGTTTGTGACAGAACCGGTTAGAACCAGTTAGAAGAGAAGCTCGATGCCCGGGGGCTCCCCGCATGAGCTACATCTGTCACCATTAGTGGAGCCAAACAGACCATTGGCAGCCTCCAGAGGCTCCTCCCACCCCCAACGCCCTGATTTACAGATGGAGACACAAGCGCCAGCTGAGCGGCAGAAGGACGAGCTTCAGAGCCAAACATCAACAGGAAGGAGAACAAACGTTAGTTTAGCAGGTGAACAGCAGCTAACCGTAAACCCCAACCGGGTCAGGAACTACGCCCGATGTTTTAGTGAAGATACCGCCCCATCACCTGTGAATGAATGAATGAATGAATGAATGAATGAGGGTTATGGAAGCAGCTGCTTTGCTCCTGAATTACTTATGAGTTAAACATAAATTATGTAGTGACTAGTAACCAGGCAACAACTGGGATTATCCTGCTGGTGATGGATCGATACGCTGGGGAGAGTGTGTGTGTGTGTGTGTGTGTGTGTGTGTGTGTGTGTGTGTGTGTGTGTGTGTGTGTGTGTGTGTGTGTGGAAATACATCTCTGAGGTGAAAGTAAGAGAATCTGAAACCATCTGGTATCAAACGTTTGTGAGAAGATCCATTTGTTGGGTAGATGGAACAATTTAACGTATTCATTCTCGATTTCATCTCCAGCTCCTCCCAAAGCTGTCTCCTGCTCCTCCGACTCCTCCTGCTCCTCCGACTCCTCCTGGTCCTCCCGACTCCTCCTGGTCCTCTCGACTCCTCCTGCTCCTCTGACTCCTCCTGGTCCTCCGACTCCTCCTGGTCCTCCGACTCCTCCTGGTCCTCCGACTCCTCCTGGTCCCCCGACTCCTCCTGGTCCTCCGACTCCTCCTGGTCCTCCGACTCCTCCTGGTCCTCTGACTCCTCCTGGTCCTCTGACTCCTCCTGGTCCTCCGACTCCTCCTGGTCCTCCCGACTCCTCCTGGTCCTCTCGACTCCTCCTGCTCCTCCCGACTCCTCCTGCTCCTCCCGACTCCTCCTGCTCCTCTGACTCCTCCTGCTCCTCTGACTCCTCCTGGTCCTCCGACTCCTCCTGGTCCTCCGACTCCTCCTGGTCCTCCGACTCCTCCTGGTCCTCCGACTCCTCCTGCTCCTCCTGGTCCTCCCGACTCCTCCTGGTCCTGAGTCAGAGACATGACCCAGAACCTGAGAACCACTGGAGATGGGTTCTTCAGTACTTCGATGTAAATCGGACCGAACAGAAACTTTAGATCTGGTGAATCTTCGGATCGTTTGAATGTTCAGCAGATTTATTTAAAGTTGTGAATAAATGAAATGTTTAGTTATTTAATCTCCAAATCCAACGCCGCTGACTCAGCAACAGGTTTTATTTGGGAACATGACTCAGCGTTTCCAGGTTCTGCTCTGATGCAGTGAAATAAAGACGAGGGCAGGAATCATCACTTCCTGTCTGGATTTAGATCCAGGCTGGAACGTGACTCATGCTTCCAGATGTCCTGGTCCTGCTGACAGACTCAGAGCTTCAGCGCCTGCTCCGGATGGATCCACCTGTCCCTAGAAGCCTGCCGCAGGTGTGTGAGCGCGGTCACACGGCAGAGATCCGCTGGTAATTACAGCTGGATTACTGGGAAGTGGCCGGGACTTGGCGAGGTGAAGCAGCCTGATCCTGTGCTTAGTGGAGGCTCGGACCATTTCTCACCAGCCTCTGAGACGAGGAGGGTCTGATGAGGTCAGAGCTCCTCCGCGCTGTCGGTTATTCTGATTCAGGTGAACATCAGAGATCAGGCTCATCTACTGAGATCTGGGAATACCGTCACATTCCTGTTGGAAAACCAGAGAAGAAATAATGCTTCCCACGCCGAGCCACGCTGGAGCAGAATTCTTCGTTTTATTTATAATACTCTCACAGAACCAAACCAAACCCGTTCATCAGCTGCCAGGAGGTCCAGGCTGGACCTCCTCCTGATTTCAGCCGAGCTCCGTTCAGACGGCTCATCCTGATGTTGAACTTCCTAAGGAGACGCAAAGATGGCTGACGCCCAGAATAACGACATCAGCTGATTTAATCTGAGGTTTTATCCGAGCGTAAAACGCTCAGAGGAACTTGGACCTGGTTCTGCTCTCCTGAGGAGCATCCTGGGCTCTTTACTCCACTCCAGGAGTCCATTTGACCCGGTTCTGGCTCCATCAGGCCCAGTGTTCTCATTAAAAACGGGACAAACGGGACCGCAGACTGGATAATGAGACACGAAGCTTCAGCCAACAGAAGGGAAATCCCCCAAACTCACCTTTACTGGCGTGTGTGTGTGTGTGTGTGTGTGTGTGTGTGTGTGTGTGTGTGTGTGTGTGTGTGTGTGTGTGTGTGTGTGTGTGTGTGTGTGTGTGTGTGTGTGTGTGTGTGTGTGTGTGTGTGTGATGGCAGTCTGCCTCTCCATCTGTCAGAAAACAGAACGTCAGACTTTATTTCTGCTGCAGGTAAGACAGAACTCTGACCTCAGCGTGTCACCTGGACTTCCTGCAGGTACACACTACAATCCTGTGAGTGGTTACCATGGTAACACAGAGGCTGGAGCATGAATATGCAGATAAATAAGGCCAGGGTCTAGGCGTTGTTGTTGTTGGCGTGGTCTGTTTACTTTAGTCCTCCTGTCTCACCGCCTGCTCAGCT